GCCAGCTTTGCAGAGAGGGCCTGAATGAGGCTTAGCTTATTTCTGTGATTACAAGATAAGGAATTTATCTAAATAAGACATTAAGTGATACATCACTATACTTCATACATGCTAGAGTAGGTCTCAATAGGGAGGAAGTAAGTATCATCCTGCAATCAAAATAAAACCTCAATTATCCACAAGCACACAATCCAACCTCCTCATGGCTTCCTCCACTGTGCCCTGTGCTTTCTGGGGACTCACCTCCATACATGCTTACGATTAGGGATGACAAGGCAATTTTCCTGTTTGTCTAAAAAGAATGGTATTCATGCAATCGCACTGCCTTAGGCAGTCATACGATCCATACCAAAGGCAAATATAAATGCACTTTGTGAAGCTCTAGTAAGTGGAAGACTACCTGTTACAACTTCCTCCAAGTTACCCTCAGAGGGAATAAGGAAGCCACAGACTGAAGCTGGTAACCAACGTTCATAGTCTGTAACTTCCTGTATTTATTGTTTTGGGGACAGTCACCATTAGGATCACTGGCTTGATGACAGTGATGCCCAAAGAAAGGGCATCATAAACAAATTGGGGCTGAGGCAATGGTACAGAGGGTTTCTCAGAGACGACATAGAGAGCTCTGGGATCAGACCTACCGGGGTCCAAGCCTCAGCTTGGCCACTTCTGATCTGTACGACCCACACAAGTTGTTGAGTAATCTCTCTCAGTCTCACTTTTCTCGTAAAATGAAGATACCAATACCTGCATCATTGCACTGTGATGACAGTCATAAACAAACAATGCTTAGTGCTGTCTCAATAGAATTCTTATTCAAAAGACAAATTCCACTTAAACGTACCCTTCACTTAACATTTTTTATTCTCTCTCTCTCTCCTGGACATCACCATGAAATAGTTAAGTTTCTGGAGCAGAATTTTAACTTGTGAATCACTGAATCTTAACTTTCTCTGAGGCATTTCCAAGTGATGCTTCTGCTGAATGCTACTTAACATGACATTTTCCCCCACTGCACCAAAAAAACCTCAGTTAATGGCCTAATAAGCAAGGGAAGACTATTTCAAAAAATGGGCTTGGAGAACATGAGAAAAGCAGGGAAAGTGCCTTCTGGAGGATCTTAGAAGAGAATCACAAGCATCCATCAACCTCTATTTCTATTGGATTGATTGGCCAGCTAGAGAACTTTTTTTTCTGAAACTACAGGTGATTTTCATCTTCAGCGAAAAGACAGAGACCATCTCATATATAAGGGAAAATCAGTAACTAACAGCATGCACAAGTTTCAATAATGAGTCACCGGTTACCATAGTGATGCAAATATTACCTAACAACTCACTGGGCTGTAAGTAACCAAGATGATGCTACGTATATTATTTTTAAAATGGGAAAAAATGTCTGTAGTTTTAGGAATACTTGCAAGGAAGTAGATGGACCTAAGCAGCAGACTGAAGGCAGCCCAGGATCAACCCTGTGGAGCCAGGAGTCACCATCATCTCCTGCTCTGTCCGTGCGGAGCTCCGTGACACTTGCAAACCCACAGCTGTGCCCAGTGACAGCTGCATGAGGAAGAGTGATGACATTGTATTTACAAACAAAGAACTATGATAGGGAAGATGAGTCTTCTCAATCCCTAACCTCTTCATAAAAGAATAATCTCTGCTACAGCCCACTGAAGATGAAAAACTCCACATGACAGACTTGGTGGCCAGTCCTTTATAAACTCAGTTTCAAGAATGTCCTCAGGCAAAACAAGATTCCCAGAAAATAACTAAGATGCACCATAAAACAATAATTTCCCCCTTTCTCTACAGTTTGAATGTTCTGCATATACATGAATTTTAATTAGGAAAAAAGTATAACCATCATATGATGTTAATAATTTTCAAATTATGCCAAGAAATGGCAGCACACAAACACATTCCTACATACTTTGTTTTTTTGTTGTTGTTGTTGTTGTTTTTGTTTTCAAGATGGAGTCTTGCTCTGTCACCTAGGCTGTAGTACAGTGGTGCAATCTTGGCTCACCGCAACCTCCACCTCCCAGGTTCAAGTGATTCTCCTGCCTCAGCCTCCTGAGTGGGACTACAGGCATGTGCCACCACACCCAGTTTTTTTTTTTTTTTTTTGTGATGGAGTCTCGCTCTGTCACTGAGGATGGAGTGCAGTGGCACGATCTCAGCTGACTGCAACCTCTGCCTCCTGGGTTCAAGCAATTCTCCTGCCTCAGCCTCCTGATTAGCTGAGACAACAGGCGCGTGCCATCACACCCAGGTAATTTTTTTGTATTTTTAGTAGAGACAGGGTTTCACAGTGTTAGCCAGGATGATCTCTATCTCTTGACCTCATGATCTACCCACCTTGGCCTCCCGAAGTGCTGGGATTACAGGTGTGAACCACCAAACTCGTCAACTTTTATATTTTTAGTAGAGATATGGTTTTGCCATGTTGGTCAGGCTGGTCTCGATCTCCAGACCTCAGGCGACCCACCCGCATTGGCCTCCCAAAGTGCTGGGATTACAGGTGTGAACCACGCGCCCAGCCTACATTCCTAAATTGAACTTTGTGCTCAACTTCTGGACAGAAGGCGTAATGTCCTGTACACATGGGTTCCAGTTCTCTAGAAAATAGGCCCCAGGGCTGTTTCTCCCAGTGGTTCCAGGTATCCAGCATCAGACCGCCCAGAAGGTGCTTTAAAAATGAAAACTCCCAGGTCATATCCAAGTCCCACTCACTCTGAGTCTCTGGGGTTGGGATCTAAAGCCCCACTTTTTTTTTTAAGGTTCTCTGTGCCATGCTTATGTTCTCTCTGAAGTCTAAGAACCCCATCTTTAGTGATCTTCACTACACTGAGGTCTCCAGACAATGGTGACAGAAGACAGGATGTCACTGGGGGCCATCTGCCAGCACAGATTACTCAGAGCCAGAACTATTCATGACTCAACAGCTTTTTTACCACAACCGAGGGTAAATCACCGGTGTAATCTGCATGTATTATGTATGTGGGTAGGAGAAACAAGTATTTCACAAGCAACACACGAGATATACTCTGACCTAATCTACTCTACTACATTCCAGTGTTTAATGCTCTGGCAACTAACTGAATTAATTTCACTACCCAGTAACTGCTATGAATGAAACCATGGTGATACCTTTAACTGCTGTCATTTAACTTGGATTTCTACATAACTTCTTTAATCTCACAAAGAATAGCATGCAAATTATATACATGCAGTATAAAATAAAGGAAAAATATTAATAAACTGAAGCAAAGGGAAAATAAAGATAGGAAACTAAATGTTTATACAGAAGAAGTCAAAGGAATCAAAGATAAACTTAATAAATACAAGGCATGGCAGGAAACTGAGTTCACTTGTTAACTCCCAGCTTTGTTTTTTCTTTTTCTCTCAAGATGGAGTCTCGCTCTGTCGCTCAGGCTGGAGTGCAGTGGCACGATCTCAGCTCACTGCAACCTCCGCCTCCCAGGTCCAAGTGATCCTCCCACCTCAGCTTCCCGAATAGCTGGGATTACAGGCACCCACCACCATACCCAGCTCATTTTTGTATTTTTAGTAGACACGGGGTTTCACCATGTTGGCCAGGCTGATCTGGAACTCCTGACCTCAAGTGATCTACCCTCCTTGGCCTCCCACAGTTCTGGGATTACAGACGTGAGCCACCGTACCTGGCCCCTTTCTCAGCTTTCTAGCAATCAACATGAAGAAGAAAACAGCATCAGTTACAAAATTCCCAGTGTCCATCTGGGAAGAACAACACAATTTCTGAGATGCATTCAGGCCTTTGCGGCCTCTGTGCTGCTGAACTGAATCCCTCCCTCCGTCTTTGGGGTAGAGCAAGGGACTCATCAGTGGAAGTAGGACCCTTGTTACTGCCTCCACCTTCTACCACCACCTGATTCATGGGTAAAATTACAGTCACTCTAGGGACTACTAACTGGGACAAACAAAGCCTGCAATATACTGAAGCCTGAGGCCACCCGATTCTCCCTCCTTCAAGAGCACTTTGTACTCACTTCTGTTTCAGCACTGGCCACCTTGTTATAATGACAGCTGTTCACAGGGGTGTTCCTTCCCTCCCTGCTGACCCCACAAGATCAGTTTCATGAAGACAAAACTGTTTCATATGCATTTCAGTGAGCTCGGCCTAAAGTGTTGAATGCAAAACTATTGTGGAAATTCCAAAAGACAAAAATCAAAGAAGCACAAAAATCTAAACTTGCTTCTTGTAGAATCAAGTATGAAGCATTAGTCTAACCATTTGTCCTCAATGATTCAGTTTCGTACCTGTTACCCAAAGCCAGTATTTTTATAGCCCAGGTTAGTCTTAAGGAAGAAATCTGTGAACAGATGTAATGTGCGTGGCTCAGTTCCTGGCACACAGTATGCACTCAGTAAACTCCAGTGTGCCCTTCCTCTATCAGGGATCTTGTACATATTAATTTTACTTGCTCCCAGGGCCATTGCTGTCTTCACAAATCCCTCCTTCTCCTTTACTCTTGCTAAAAAGAGTTCAAATCACCCAAGAAGAGAGCTGGGTTCCCAAGATTCATAGAACACTCTTAGTGCCTACATACATAATGCCACATTTGAAAACGTTTCTTATCATTATTTCATGTACGTTAAGCAAGGGTTAGAGGGTATTCTGGAAAAACAAAATCTGAGAAAGAAAAACCCAACTAAGTCATTAAGTATCAAATAAATCCTTTAACCAAGCAGTAAGAAAGAGATAACATATTCACTCTTCGAAGGCAACTGCAGTTGCTGAACAAGACACGAAACATATTTGGTCTTTACTCTTGAGCTGCTAAATATCATCTTGTGGATGCTAAAGTAGCAGTTATTTGCTTTACAGACCCTATGTTCATGGATAGTAGAGACGTAAAATTTAGACCAGCATGTCTAGTCCTGAACAGAGGAAACATCATCATGATTTACTTTCCTTCAACATGTGTCCCATATTAAATAATGTGGTTGACTTACCTTTTCTGTGATATAGAAGTTTGAACTATCGGCATGCTGCAGTGCATAATATTCATGGTTGGGAAGAGACCACCTTAAAAATATAAGCATACACTGATTAGAAAAATGAAAGTGGCCATTTTCATTTGTGTAATTTTTTAGTGTTGGATGAACTAAGCACCCTGTGATTGGAACTGGACCAATCCCAACATATACCACAATGCAGTTCCTAAAGCAAAATGACTTTAGCCTACCTTCCATACCCTGAGACCAAACATTTCATGTGTGGACTGCCTAGACCTTATGCTAGGCCTGCTGCTCACCTTTAAGCATTTCATCTTCAAGGCTTGCTGTGGCAGATTTAAATATAAATCTTTACAATTCTACTGATTTTAAGGGATTGAAGCAAAGAAAGAAAATAAATGCAATTTAAGTTTTGGATATTCGGCACATTTTAATTGTCTCTGTATTCTACAATCCCCTATCAGTATAGTTGTTACAGACTGAAACACTCCAATTAAGTACTCTAGGCCTTACACAAATTTCAGTTAACACAACTATTTTCACAGTTCTGGTTTAAAAGAAAAAAAAAAAAAAAAACTCATGCAGCTACCATATATACATTTCCTTTGTATTGTTTAGAGCAGCCACAAAAAAGTAGGAAAGTCATATCATTGTGAGATCCCATGGGGCAGTACAATTACCCACTGCCTTGTCTGTTCAGTTCTTTCATCCTCTATGAGGACCTGAGTGGTCCTCTCAGTTTATACCAGATCAAGTGTGTACTGCGCCCTCAAAAACCCTTAGAGTACTCCCTGCTGGGTAGGACAAAAGGAACACAACTTCCTAAAATAAATAAAGCCAACCCCACTGTGCACATAACAGTCATTTCACACTTTCTGCTCTATGAGGACTAATGGTAAATTCTGGTGGAAAAGGGTGTGATACTCCTACAGAGTAATTCTTAGTGACTTTGAGCAAGTCAGTGGGTGACTTATGAATAATATTTTACTATCCTACTGGAAATATATTATTTGCTTGTCAATTTATCAACTGGAATGCCTTAGATAAATCCTGAGTAACACTTACCCATCACAGACTTCCTTTATTATTGCAGACAGTGGTTTTTTCTGCAAAATAACAAAAAAGGAAATACTTTGTTAGTTTCATTTCATCATTTTAAATTTAAAAAAAGAAGAAGCTTCATAAAAGGATACCTAAGCAAAGAGAATTTACATTCGCTATTCTTAGTTGTCAATAAGCCTCTTATTTTTCTCAAGGTAACAATCTACCAGCTGTTACCACCAAATATATTGATTTATTACCGCTGTGGTCCTTTTTTTCTATACTTAGCATTATTAGTTGAACAAAACATGCATCATATTTAATCTAGCCACACTGAAATTAGGGTGAAAATATAGCTTTGTTCAAAGATCTCACAGACAACGGAAGCCCATGAGGCCAAGTCAAAACCAGAATCCCTCAGGAATAGTACATGAATCAGGCAAGCTGCAGTTTGGCTTTATGCAAAAATCGTGGATTGATGATATTTTTATGAGAACATGTGGCAAATGGACTATGAAGTGTTACGAAATGGTTCTTACAAAGTACATAGAATTCTTCCCCTGACGATGGCCCCGATAAATGCCAATCATGCAGCAGCTTGAGCCAGATACACTCCAGTAATGCGACCATGACACCATGTGCCCTGGTGTCAACTGGCGGGTGACTACAGCTGTGCTCTTGCGCCTAGCAGCCACACTTGTGCTCTGCCTGCCTCCAAGATAGAAGGAATGCAGCAGAGAGACACACCAGCTCTCCTAGAGATGTGGAAACTCTTCCTGTTTTGGATGCAAACAAGACCCTGTCTCTAGGATGGCGAGTATCATGTCAACCCAAAGAACAATCACAGACAAGAAATGAATGGGGAAGAGAGGAAGAGAAGATGAGAAATCAGAGAAATACAATACATGGTCTGGGTTTTCAGATACAACCATAAAAAATCTGTCTACACATAAGCAAGTTTTACTCCTGTCTATATGAAGGGAAATGTGGTATCTGCAAAGAGATTCTGAATCCAAGAGATCAGTTCAAATCGAGGCTCTATCACCCTGTTTGCTGTTTAAGTAACCTGCAATTTTCTTCATTTGCTGAACCCCAGTTAGTTTATCTGTAAAATGGAAATAGATTCTACCAACCCCTCAAGCTATTACAAAAATTAAATTATATTAATTATATTTTTAAATTAATACAAAGGGCAAAAGACTTCAAAAAAGGATTAGGACTCCTGAAAGGGCTCCATTTCCTCCTTGCATCCTCACCCTTGGACGTGATACTATGCCTGCCCTATTGGTGAATTCTGAACACCATTTGCATAGTCCTCTCCAAGGGCCTCCCTAACCCCTGCTAAAGGCCCAGTTCAGTGTGCAGTGTCCCTCCAATGAACTCTCTCCCACTGGAGCTCCATCCTCTATGAGCACATTCACTACCACGTGTGCAAAAGAATGTGTCTTTGCCTACAACTATAAACACAGTTGGAGGTGTTCGTTGCAGCACTACTCACAATAGCCAAGATTTGAAAGCAATCTAAGAGTCTATCAACAGATGAATGGATAAAGAAAATGTGGTACATTTACACAGTGAAGTATTCAGCCATAAAAAGAATGCGATCCTGTCATTTGCAATAACATGGATGGAACTGGAAGCCATTATATTAAGTGAAATAAGCCAGGCACAGAAAGACAAACATCACATGTTTCCATTTATTTGTGGGATCTAAAAATCAAAACAATTGAACTCATGGAGAGAGAGTAAAGAATGGTTACCAGAAGCTGGGGAGGGTAGTGGTAGGGTTTGTGGGAGAGGTGGGGATGGTTAATGAGATCCAAAAAAAATAAAGAATGACAAGACCTAGTATTTGATAGCACAACAGGGTGACTATAGCCAATAATTTAATTGTACATTTTAAAATAAAAGAGTATAACTGGATTGTTTGTAACACAAAAGATAAATGCTTGATGGGATAGATACCCCATTTTCCACAATATAATTATTATATATTGCATGCCTGTGTCAAAACATTTCATGTACCCCACAAATACATATACCTACTATGTATCCACAAAAGTTAAAAAATGAATAAACACAGTTGGAGAGAAAGGGAAACCTAGAATTACTGAGGAGTAGAAAGACGGTGGGGGTATTCCTTACATCCTACATCTGTCCTCTAGAATAAGATGACAATGGCAATTGGGTTCTACTGTAGTTACATGTTACGCAAGTCCTAGGCCTTTGCAAGAAGCTGTCCACTGTTGATGGCTCTTGCTGTGAGCTGATGAACAAATGTGTTCTCTCAACCAAATGACTAAGGAACTTCAGAAACAAAACTTTTTTCCATTAGACAAGAATTTTGCCCTTCCAGCTGCCAGAGAGCCCTCTACGCTATCAATTTGTGATGACTTATCAGAGAATCTCCCCAAATCTCACTTCAGGCACCCTCAAAACTGAAACACAAATAACAGAGCCAGGTTTTAGTCTTACATAACACTGAAACAAAAAGTCAGGTCAAGAAGGTATTGTTGAGGTAGCGGAAGGCATCAAAAGCAACTGTTCCCGGATTTAGACTTAGAGACTGAAGTCTGTTAAAGGAATTACTTGGATTTCAATTCAGGTCTGATTCATAGAGAATCGAGTTTTAAAAGACAGAGGTCTCTAGGGTACTATTATACCTAGAACATAATGAAGTTGGATATATGAAAGGAATAAAGACCACAGATGCACAAAGCTTAGAGATTTAATAGAGAAAGATGAAAGAAAAACTGTAAACCACAGAGGAAAAGGAATTATAGTTGAGTGAACACCCATAGGGTAGCCTAGCCAATTAAAATGAGTGTTACATAATGGTGGGCCCCTCCATTCTTCCATCTACCTCAATCAAACGTTAGCCCTCACCACCCAAAAATTAATTCCAATAACCTTTTCACCGTTCTTGCCTTCCTTTTCCTGTCTGCCTTATTTGACACTGTTACTACTTTCTTCTTTTTGAAACCCCCTTTCCAGAGCTATGATATAGCACCATATTTTCTTCATTCTCCTACACATACAACTAATCCTTAAATGAAGTCCAAGAAATCCTTCATAGTTACTCTTTTACCTGTGGCTCTCTAACTCCAGATTTTTTTTCTCATCTTTTCCGCTTTTATTTAGTCAGTCAGTTCCCTCATGGATCTCATTCTATTCAACTGTCCTAAGTCTACAGTTGTAGCCCCAAACACTTTCTTGCAAATCTTTGACAGTCTCTTAGACGGAACATTTTAACTGTCCTGCAGGGATCTTATTAAAAGTGGAAACAAAAATCACCACTTTCACATTCCCTACCCCTCAATCTACCCAATGGTAGCACACGCCCCTCAGATCCCACACCGGATGCTGCCATGACTTCTCTGCCCTCATTATGGCACCACTACTGCCCAGGAGTCTCGTTAACCTTTATGTCTTCACTCTTCAGCTATAAGGTGCTAACAGGTTATGTATATGTTTCCTCTGTGATGTCCACAGCATTGCTTCTCACGGCCTAACTCTTCTTCTGAACTCCTGAGTCTCCTCATTCCAACTCCTGCCATCAAATAGATCTTTGAGTGTATGCCCCAATCTCATCACCCTTAATTCTGCTGCTTCTGACCCAGCACCTTTCCTGAGTACCAGCCCATCATTAATAACTATTTGCCATGAATTTCCAATCAACTGCTTCCCTAGAAAATCAACCCCAAATCGTATCTTCCATCAGTTCCTACACTCAACTTGCCTACTTTCAGTAGTTCTTTGAGGCACATTTCTAGCCAACTTGTCCTTGTCTTCTCTTTCTTCCTTAATACATTCTGTGACATACACATTTGCAAGACACTAAGTCTCATCATTACTTCCACAACCTCTCTCCCTTTAATCTTTCCAGACCTTTCCTACCACCTTTGTTCTAAAGATCCCATCACCAGGTCCCTGCAGACAAGTCTCCACATCTCCAATTTCTTTTTCTCCAATCCCCATGTCAACTATAAATACACAAAATTAGACTTGCCCTACAAACTTTGCTTATATCACTCGTTTGCTCCAATAAAAGTGTCAGTCCCAGCTGGAAGCGGTGGCTCACGCCTGTAATCCCAGCACTTTGGGAGGCAGAGGTGGGCAGATCATGAGGGCAGGAGATTGAGACCATTCTGGCCAAAAATGCTGAAACTGTCTCTATCAAAATACAAAAAAAAAAAAAAAAAAAATTAGCTGGACGTGGTGGCGCATGCCTGTAGTACCAGCTACTCAGGAGCCTGAGGCAGGAGAATTACTTGAATCCAGGAGGTGGAGGTTGCAGTGAGCCAAGATTATGCCACTGCACTCCAGCCTGGCGACAGAGCAAGACTCTGTCTCAAAAAAAAAGAAAGTCAGTCCCTTAGCTTGTCACCCAAAGCCATCCACAATCTGGTCTCCGTAAGTCTACTATTCTGTACACGTTCCCCATGCTTCTGGATCTTGATGGTGAATCACCAAAAACAAACAAACAAACAAAAATCCCATCTCCACACTTTCGCTCATGCCATTTGCTTTGTTGAAATGGCCCTCTCCTTCTTTCTGTTCCAACTCTAACAAGGAACTCTTACCTACCATTTAACGTCTATGTCAAAGCCACCCCCTCTAACCAGATGCCCCCTTATCTCCCTAAATAGATGTAATTACTCCCTCTGTGGACTTAGCAGATTAAATGATTCACTTCTGAGGACTGTATATCTATCTTATCTCCCCATCCCTTGAGAACAAGGCATCTTAATTCATCTCTGTAGCCTTCCCCACCCCTCAGTACTAGTTACCACAGTATGTAGGTATTAACAGGATCTAATAGGAGACTCAATACACCTCGGCTAAATGAAAAAAACTATACATTCACGAACTTTCCTTTAAAAAACAACAACAAAAAGCCAACTATTTTTAATGATAGCCTGGATTAACCAGCATATTTCCCATTTCCTACCACTGCTGGGTGACTGAGCAGCTGCTGGCCATAAGCTGTTAGACACTGAAAGCTGTCACTACTCCCTGTGCAGAGTCATTCATGTAGGAATTAGGCAATTCATGGCTTGGAAGA